GTTAACAGTACTTTCTCAAATGAATAATTATCATGATACATGTTGTGCATATGCAGACACAGAGTGGTATAAAATTGTAAGAGGGCGATGTTTGTTTGAATGTCTTTCGTTATTTATTGGAGACAAATATATATATATATATATATATATATATATTATAAATCTTATTTTAGAAGTTAACTTCTTAATATACTTATGAGAATCATTGTTACATCTTATCTTAATAAAATTTACTTTTCAATCGTTATTAAACTTCGGATTCATTTCTAACATTTCAATGTTTAAAAAAGTTCTACATAAACTAAAAATAAGATCAATTTAAAAAATATATATAAATACACTTTTTATTTAGACTATAAAAGTTTACTTTTTTTTCTTTAACTACGGTGAGAAATAATTCTTTTTTTCTGTTTAAAAGGTGTGGGAGAGTAAATTTGAATTTGAAATCAAATATTCAAACAGTGATTGTATTTTTTTTTTTCACGAGTTTCATTAAATTTGTACCAACAAGAACTCTCTTTTGACCCTGATACGTAATACTTTTATCAAAAACCATTTTTTTCATGATTACTTTATCCATTTTATGGTTTCTTTGTGAACCTGCGTTTCTTTCGTGTAAATATCCATTATAGTTTTCTGTATTCTGAAATATTAGTCCTCAAATTTTGAGGCCAAGATTCTTAAAACAACTCTTGACTGTTTTTTGTTTAACATTCTTAGTTTTTGCTTAACATGCGACTTTTTCCCATTTCAAGCTGGCATGCATAATGTACTTAAAGTTGCATGCAATATGCATAGAAATAAGTAGCCAGTGGGGGCAATATTTGAACATTTCTCTTACGCGGTTTCGTCGATTTGTTATTTAGCAAAATCAAGTTGAAACATAAGGATCCAAAAATTTTACGTAGATTACTCTAACAAGTAAGCTATAGCTGGTTGCTACTTGGAGCCTATAAAAATGCCCTCTACCAATTGAGATAAACTCACAAATCATACACCTGTTAAGATGATGATAAAAAAGGAAATGGCTTCTCATCTCCAACACTTCCTTGTTCTTGCCATGGCCATACTTCTCACAATCCCTTCTCATGCACAGCAACTCAGTCCTGATTTTTACATGGCTTGCCCTCAGGCACTTCCAGTCATTAAGTCAGTTGTTCAAAGAGCCATATTCCGTGAACGGCGTATGGGAGCATCTTTACTGCGTTTGCACTTTCATGACTGCTTTGTCAATGTGAGTTGCATACAGATCCATGTTGGATTTTTACTCTTTCTCACTCTGAAAGTTAGACAAAAGAAAATTACAATATGAAGCATTGCAGATAGTGCAACATTGATCTGATATATATATATATTTATAGCATGTGTCTGTCTTCTAAATGGTAATCTTATCTAGCCTTGTTTTCTACATGCTGCTAGTGTAATTAGTAACAGAGTCAACTTGAAAATTATCAATTAAATCAGGTTTTTTATTCATGATCATTTTCTGACTTTTTGTTTTCCTCTCCTTGACTTCTTATATACAGCCTGCATATATACTTCATTTTCAAGCCAAGTTGACTCAGTCAAGTTAGCTGATTAATTTTCATAGGTGCCGAATTTAAATAATTGACACTAGTTTAAAAATAGACAATTTATTATATTGGTTATAATCCTTCTGTCATAACAAATAGTACGGTGACAACATTATAAATATATAAGTATAGAATTTTTTTTATTTCAATTATCATTCGAACTGATATAGAAAATAAGTATAATGATAATTTCATAATAAAGTAAAATGGGAACGTAACAATTGTAACAAAGTAAAAGACTTTACATAATGGTTATATTTGGCAACAGAAAGTTTCAGAGAACTATGTATTGGATGCAATGCAACTATTTCTGACAAATGTAATGCATGCAAGAACATTGTATATATATATTAATGTATATTGTTATCCTAATAAAGGTAATGTGTATGGCTGAAATTATAGGGCTGTGATGGATCAGTTCTGCTGGATGACACCCCAAATTTCACAGGGGAGAAGACTGCACTCCCAAATATTGGCTCAATCAGAGGTTTGGAGGTTATTGATGAAATCAAAGCAGCGGTTGACAAAGCTTGCAAACGTCCTGTGGTATCATGTGCAGATATCTTAGCAGTTGCTGCTCGTGATTCTGTTTCCATTGTGAGTGTGGACATTAGTCATACTAATCTTAATCTCATTCTCACTCTTCTGGAACAAATAAATTATGATGAAAGAATAATAATATGATTAGTAACTTAATGTATTAAGAAGTTAACTTTAAGTCTAATTCAATCTTACAGAACCGGTTTGTAAAATGAGATTTATACTTAATTTATATACTATAAATTGGTATTATTTCTAATCGATATGGAACTTTTCTGACTGACTTTGTTTATTTGAATGAATTTGGGAGAGAGTGATTGAATGGATTTGAGAGGATTTGAAAATAAATTTTTTTGTTGTTTATTTGAATAGATTTGGAGGTAGGTGAGAGTAGATTTGGAAGTAAATTTTTTTAATTTGTCACATCAATCAAATCTTAAACTAATTCTCACGAATGTTGCTTCCAAATTCACTCTCACTTACTTCCAAATTTACTCAAAGAAACAACAAAAAAATTTATCTTCAAATCCACTCAATTACTCTTTTCCAAATCCATTGGAGAGAAAAGTAAAATGAAATGAAGTAGAAGTAAATGTTATAGACGAAAATATTCAAAAAGTAACGAGTGTGGTTCTCTGATAACAGTTGGGAGGTTCACTCTATTGGTACAAAGTGCCATTAGGAAGAAGGGACGCAAGAACTGCAAGCAAGGATGCTGCAAACTCAAACCTTCCTCCCCCATTTTTCAGCTTCTCCCAGCTTCTTGCAAATTTCCAAGCTCATGGACTTGACCTTCAAGATCTCGTAGCTCTTTCTGGTGCACACACCATTGGATTTGCACAATGCTCTACCTTTAGGAACAGAATTTACAACGACACCAACATAGACCCAAACTTTGCATCTTCCTTGCAGAGCACGTGCCCTAAAAGTGGTGGAGATAGCAATCTTTCACCGTTGGATCGTTTCACTCCCTCGAGAGTTGACACTTCATACTATACTTCTTTGCTAAGTAAAAGGGGTCTTCTCCATTCTGATCAAGAGCTCTTCAAAGGAGATGGCAGTGAAAGTGACTCTTTGGTGAGGCTCTACAGTAGGAACCCTTTTGCTTTTGCAAGAGATTTCAAAGCTTCCATGATCAAGATGGGTAACATGAAGCCTCTTACTGGGAATGCTGGAGAGATCAGAGTCAACTGCAGAAAAGTCAACTAAATGCTTTCGGAGTGATGTAGGGTTTCCACAATGATGTGATCACTTCTAAAATGGTTTATATTCAAAGTTTATTTTAAAATATGTTGAATGAAGTTACTGTGTCTGATGTCATTTATTTTCATACCACTAAGGAATGCTGTTGCAGCTTCAATGTCAAAGATTTTTGAGGTTCCATGTATATCATGTAATTGCAACTTATTTGTATTTCTTTTGTACTTTTTTAGTATAATTAATTGTGATGAATTCATAATTAAATTGAATTAGTTGTATTTTGTTCGTAATTTTCAAAGAGTAAATAATTATAACGAACTAAAATAATTACAATGCGTAAGGTCAAGAACTATAGTTACGATTGTTTTCTGAGGAAGAACTTTGATTTGACATGGAGGTGAGTTCAAATATGACAAAAATCTTGAGACAGAATGAAATCTTTATTAGTCTGTTTTGGTTTTCTTTAGTAACTTTAAAAGTTGTATATTAAAACTGTTTACTTAATTTTAACTGCCTTTCTTAAGGTTGAAAATTTTTAATTGGCCATTTATTAAAAATATTTATTTTAATGATATTTAGAATTTTATATATTTTAATTGAGTTTTATTAAATAGAATGATGTATATGTTACTTTGCATGGTGTTCATATATTTTCGGAACAAAATTACTTAACTAAGTTTTAAGTTCCTTAAAAATTTAAGTATTTTTAGTGAATTAATTTTATTAAAGACTTTTGTTTTATAAATGATCAAAATATATTTATATAATTTACTTGAGTCTATCATTATCACTCGTACCTAGCACCAAACTTGGCCCTTCCAAATTCCAAAGTTCTGTTTTTCTGAACCAGAGTTGTTGAAGGCACTTTTGGTGCCATTGATACCCCATGAAGGTGCGTAGCAACTTGCACACCAGTGTTGAGATCTTGTCCTTCCCCAAGTTCTTGAAGATACAAATTTAATTTTAATTAAAAAATACTACTTAATAATAACTCTAAGTTTTATCTATTAATTATTTGGGATAAATATTCTAAAAAGGACAATGATATTTAAACACAACACATATATTATGTAAAAATGTTTTCAAAAATATCTTTTTTCTTCTAGAGAAACATGTTCTATATGCATGGTTGAAAGGTTACATCTTAGCCTGGCAAGCCTACAACTCCAAACTATAAAGATGTTGAGATAAGATATTGACTTTTTATGGTCAAACGATGCATAGTTAGTCTAATGTCCAAAAGGGATTAGTCCAAGATTAGCATCCAAAAACTTTATATAATTGTTAACATTTAGTCTTCATTTATTTTTTTATCAACAATAAAAAATATATTAATTAAAAATAATTGAAATGTTCTAATTCTTTTATAAAAACATACAAACGAAAATGCAATCATAAAGAAGTACACAAAGAAGAGTTTATAAACAAAGAGATTGAGAATAGAAATGTAATAATGTACTCAAACAAATAAATTTACTCATATTAAGTTTAAACATATTGGACTATCTTGCATAGTTTAGGTTTTATTTTTCATCATATGGAAATAGTGAAGTCCATGGTTGGAAGAATAGATAATTGATTTATTTCTTCATTTACTTTTCTGGAGGAACAAGTATTTCAATACTAATAACAAGATTAAATAAATAGCAAAATCTTGTTTTTATGAAATGAGAATTGAAATGGCATGAGAATATATATAACACTTTTTATTTAAAGTATTCAATTGATGGAGAACTACAACTAAAAGTAAACTTGAAACACACATTCAGATTGTTTGATTGTTAACAAGACTCGCACACACCTAAAACAAAAACCATAACACATAAAGATTGTGACTGAATGAGCATAATTCTCTGGCTAGCTTTGCTCAATTCATGCTCATCGAAAGTTCTGCATTTTCAGTTAACCAGGCGGCAATTTGTACGGATTTGGCCACTGGTTCCTGTTAAAGGACTGAGGTTTCCCATTTTGACCATGGCACTAGAAAAGTCTGCATAGAAAGTTGAAGAGCTTGTGCTGTAGGTAGTGACCTGAGAATCGGTGGAACCACCACTGAAGAGTTGCTGATCAGAATGCAGAAGCCCTTTCTTGTTCACCAGATTCTTGAAATAAGCATTGTCAAATAACACATTGGTGGTCACATCAAGTGGGGACAGGTTGCTGTCACCATCAGTGCTAGGGCAATTTGACTGTGTTGATGTTGCAAAATCTGAATCAATGTTGCTTTCATTATAAATCCTACCCCGGAAGAACTGGCATTTCGCTTGCCCTGTTGTGTGAGCTCCTACAAATTGTACAATAATTTTTATATAAGAAATAAAAGGATCATCAGGTTGTGCCGAATTTACATATCAGATACCAAAATGCACTAGAAAAGTCTGCATAGTTCTCAATTACCTGAGAGAACTACCATCTCTTTGGTGGTAAACCCCTTATTTGAAAAAGCTGTTATGAGATCACTCAGATCCAATTGAGGGGATGGAATATCTGTGGTGGCAGCATCTTTACTTGCAGTGGTTGAATCTCTTCTGCCTAAGCCAACAGTCCATGATGAACCACCCAACTGAGATAACAAAAAGGCCACTCATCAGAAATCATTAAAGTATCACTCTTAATATAATTATTATGAGAATCTACAATTACCATACATCAATAAATTAATGAAAATGTAATCATTCGTTTGTTATACATATGTAATGAACTTTCTTGTTTGTGTATTTTTCTTCTATATGTTCATATTATTAGTATTATGGTACTAAATTAACTTACTGCTACAACAGAATCACGAGCAGCAACAGCAAGAATATCTGCACAGGAAACAGTTCCTGGACAAGCACTTTCCAACTGACTTTTGATGTCGTCGATTACATCAAAACCTCTCAGAGAATTCACGTTTGCAGCAGCTGACTTCTCTCCCGTGAAGCTCGAAGTGTCATCTAGAAGAACAGATGCATCACATCCCTACAAGTTTCATAATAACATTTAATCAATAAACGCAAAATGTGTTCTCCATGGCATATATATACTAATAAAATAAACGTGTAACGCATTGAAACTCATACAAGCTACATATATATTCTATTCTATTCCATGACAAAGTCCAAGGGTGAAGAAATGTTTCGAGATCATGTAAAGTTGAAGTTCTTTCTCTGTTATAACACAGTATTAGCTTCTCTCCGCACAAACGAAAAACAATTCTCAAGGGTGGTGAGAATATAAGTTGCTTATTTTATCTGTATATTTTGTATGTCATACATGCATGGATGTTCATGCAGGGAACGATGAATGTATACATATATATATGCAGGCGTACGTGAAATGACTCATGCATGAGTAAGAGAGTGAAAGAGATGAAACGATGAGTAGAGAGAGAAAGAGAGAAGAAAGAACTTGCATTAACAAAGCAGTCATGGAAATGGAGCCGGAGCAAGGATGCTCCCATGCGACGCTCTTTGGAAACAGCACTTTTCACTGCAGATTTGATGGTGGAGAGAGCAGTGGGGCATGATGTTGCATAGAAATCTGAAGAAAGCTGAGAAGAAGCTATGGCAAGAAGAGAGAACAAAACAGAGAAGAAAACCACGTTGCAACGTGAATTCAAAGCCATTATGGCTAGCTCAAGTTTAACTTGAAGTTGTGGTTTTGTGAATGGACACTGCTCCTCCAGCTTAATATATATAGAAAGCCATGCGCGGTCCATTTTGGACCTTATGTGATCTGGTTCTCATCAACTTTAAATTGGTCAAAAGAACAGAAAACTAAGCACTATGCATATTATTAGTTATTGGGTTTCAACCAAAGTCTCCCATTTGGTTTATTATTGCATGGTGTGTTCGATATTAAATTAAAGGTAATGCGTTAAAAGTAAGGGGGAAAAACAGATTTATTTTCTGTAATGCTTTGACATGTGTCGATTATATAGAATGGCAAAGTCCAAAAGTTAATTTTGTTGAGCTCGATTAGAAGATACCTAATCCTGCAGAAAATAGTCACAAAAGGTAGCTATCAACTTGTATATAGAGCAGTGTGGTAGTATAAAATTATTAAACGCTAATACGAAAGAAATTATTAGAGCAATTGAAGGAATTAAGAATGTGAACATGCAATTGAAGGAATCAAGGTAGTCAAATCCTGAGCTTGGAAACCAAGTTCTGCCAATCTGCCAAACTTCAGAACATTCCACATGTCTCATTATATTAATATATATTAATTAGAACAAAACTAAACATTGAATACAGAAAAGAGTCCAAAAGGTTCATATTTAAAGATGCTTTCTGAGATCACCATGCGGATCGAATACTTATATTATTATATATAAAATATTGGTATGAGAAATGATACTTTAATATACATCAATTTTTTATATTCATTATTTTTTTTTTACTTTTAACTTTATTTTTTTAAAATATAAAAATTTATTTTATGATTATTTTACTCTTATAACATGTCTGAAATAAAAATGAAAGTATCTCATCAGATCATTACTTTATTGTTTTTCATAGGAATTTGGAAGGTGGTGGCAGCCAAAATGGAAAATATGGAGCAACGAATACTTAGGTACACAACACCCCCGCCACTAAACTCATCATGGTTGACACTTTTTCTTTTTCCGTTACCAGAATATTTAAAATAATATCTTTGTTTTACACACTTCTTTTTCCGTTTGTCTATATATTACATTATATTACTTATTATTATTATAAATTGAATAATCATTATTCTTGTAATATTTTTTATTAAAATGTGCAATGTCAAAGTTTGTAAAATTTAAGATGAAATAAAATTTGAATTAATCAATTTTTATTGATATAAATTAATTTGAAACTTTTTTTTTCTCACAATCCAAAGATAAAATTTGAATTAATTTGAATCAGGTTTAAATTATTTGAATATCCTATTATGTTAAAGCGTACTAAATTCTATTTTGTGAAGTAAAATAAAAAATACACTATTTTATCTAAAATTTAAACATAATTTTCATTAAAAAGTAGAAGCAACATATTTACAATTAACTTACATAAACTAGAAATAAGAAAATTTTCAGAAAATGAGAACACCATAAAATTCATATATAATAGTGAATAATAACACGATTGCACTTTTAATATAGTTCAAATTCATCAAAATTTAATCATAAACTTAAAAATCAAATATCTAGAATTTGGTTAATTTATTAAAGTTAGATCCTATTAAACTACATCTTAAATTTTTTATTTGATCGTGTTAAATGAGGAACACAGTTATTTCCCCCTTCGGAGTATTCAAAACTAGTTCAATTAAATAATTCTTCCCTATAATTAGCTGTATTAGGTAGCGAAAGAAAGAAAAGAAAAAGAAAATTAGCCCTAAAGTTTTTAAATGTGCAATTTTTTTTAACCAACTTAGTCTACGTAAACATGATACACACATAAACAATAGGTTGAAGAATTAAATATGAACCAAACTATGAATGTAATTCTTTTTTCACATTTGTTAAGTTTATATATATGACCATCATTATGTAAAAAATTATAACTCATAAGTTAATATGCATGACATAATCCTAAACTCAATTAATGATAATCTCAAGATCTTTGCACATCCTTCTTGGGATCCATGGCACGAGGGATAGGACTATATACATGTGAATGGAAAGAAGCATTTGAGTTTAAACTGGGAGCGATGAATAATCTGGGAGGAGCAGGATCCAAAAAATTCTTATGGTTGACAAAACAGGTCCATTACATACTGCAACTACCACTGACTAGCATAAATTCATTTTTAAGTATAATCATCTACCAATTCCACAATTTTCCGTGCTTGTAGTTCAAAACATTGACAATTTTGGAATCTTGGGGGTTGTTTTGTAACTTGACTCCTCAGTTAATGATTGCAACAAACCGGGAACACTTTGACAAATCTCCATCTAAATGAACCAATAATGACAAACCAGTTTAAGGAAAACATTGTAAGGTTTTTCCTTTAGACAGACTAGTGAACAATTAATAACTTGTATTTGGATTTTTATACAAATAACAGTCAAAATGAACTTCAAATAGCTAGGTAAGGGGACCCTTCCACAGTGGCTTAATGGACTTAACAACCTCTTTATTTGTGACTCTCTTTTCACCCTATTGGCACACGTACCCATAAATAACAGAGCACAAAAACAAGGGTCATCAACAAAATAAAGAGATAATTACAGAGATACCAACATCCAGCAGCGGAACATGAGAAAGATACTATTTAAGCTATGAATAAACAGGGTGAAAAATACTTGAACGAATTCATAAAAACAAAGGAGAACAACTTCAATCGTTTTCAATAGTTCCGGTCTTAAATCGGCCAGTTCTTAGCCCAAAGCTCTATCAATAGTTAGGGAAAAGATGAATAAATTTGTTCAAATATAGTTGTGGCCTAGATTAAAATATCTTGTTTCTCAGACTAAAACAGCTATTTTTGGTAAACTCCTCAGTTTGGGTTGAACACCCTCATCAAGAAACTACAAAATCGCTTTGAAAGTTACATGACTCAAAAAACAGTAATTCAAATTTGTATTATACAATCGCACATAAAAACAGTTTCTAAAGAATAATGAAAAACATAAAATTAGTAAAGCCGTACTATGCTATCTATGCCTTACTATACCCACAAGTTATTTTTCACTCTGTTATCGCAGAACCATTATCCACATCAACCTCGCCCATTCCTGTATCTTCTTCCTCCTCACTGTCTTCATCTCCACTGACCTCCTCATTATCTTGGCGCAGCTTAGCCATGTGCTCAGCAAGCAATTTATCATCACGTTCACTCACCTGAAACAAAATTCAGCGTTAAACCTCCCAGAGTAAGAAAGTACTACAACTCTTTTACAAAAAATAGAGAACGAGACCCAAAAGCAGATGGACAAAATTTTGTAAATCAATAGAATATATATAATTAAAAAAGGAAAAAAAAACTATTTTGACACCCTCATTTAAAAATACACCCACATGACTAATACTTTTAATAATTAAATTGTTAAAACAGGATATCTAATTATAATATTCAACAAAATAATAATAAAACCAATTGTCAAGTGGACGTAAAAATTGATGGGTGTCAACCAATCATCACCATAAAAAAATAAAGTGACACTCACTGCTCTAGGTGCCTCCTTAACCACAAGTTTACCCTTGTGTTGTTCTATTGCTTCAGTGCAAGAAGTAATGGCATTGTTGAGAACCAATATTCCTTGCTCCTGTTCAGACCATAACAAAATACACAAATTACTTTCAATAGCAAGGTTATCAATTGAAGTTAATGAGACAAATCTAGAACTTCCTCATGTAGGGTGGATATTGAATACCATGCATGTTATAGTCTCTAACAGTTGTGATCTTAATAAACCCAGTTTCCTGAACTCTCCCAATGCTGTTCTATGACAATTAGAATAGAAAATCTCTACAAAGTAACAATACAGCACCCATATATAAGCCATGACTGAAGTACAATTTGCTCAAAACAGCAAAAGTTACAGTTTCTAGAGAAATCACAACTTCTAGGTAACAGAATTTGATTCTCATTAGGTACCAGAATACACCGAGCCCAAACACTAGATATCATATTCAGTAGCTGCAAGAGATTATGAGAACTATGGGCAAATTTGGTACAAAAGGCAGAAACTTTCTAGCAGCTTCTGTTTCATGCAGATTCTGATGCATATTCTTAAGAATATGATTGAAACAATCAAGTACTCCACTAAGTTTTTATTTTCTTTTACGTAGACATCCTTTTAGAAACCAGCCACAACGGAGAAATCTAGTTTTACCACACCACGCTGACTTCGATATAATAAAGAGTTATGAGAGAATGGTCAGGCCCTCAGGGATGAATCCTATTTGGCTGTTGCAAAATGCATGGCTTACATGGCAATCATAGTAAAGTTAAACAGTTGCCAACCTAGTTCTACAACCTAAATGCCCTAGAGCATGATCTATAATACAACAATAGCGTCAAAGTCATATCTCAAATATCCAATAATTATATACACAGGAGCCAGGTCTTCAAAGGCTTACTCAATTTAGTTAAAAGAACAAATCAACATATAAAAAATCGTTTGAAGATTAAACTAACCTTGTCAAGTGTCTGAGTAGTAAGAACATAAAGTGGGGGAGCAACCAGTTTAATTTTGACAGGGCAGTCATCGTTTCCAGCAGCTTCAGCTCTACGCATTGCCTCCTGTATAATCAAATGATTAAAAAACTGAGAATACTGTGGAAGGTAAGCTATAAGCAGTACCGCATCGTATAACAAATCACACACCGGAAAGAAAAGATGAAACTTTTTATCCAAAATAGACAGGTGAAACAGAAACAATTAAGACCTTAATGTGAAGAACACCATCAAATTGGAAACATTTCATTTCAATATCAGCCCTAATTTTCAAGGGCTGGGGGGTCATCCGTCTTCTAATATTTTTCACAAGAGAGTCCTTCACTTCTTCAGACACAGCTGGGACTACCTTAGTCACCTACGGGAAAAACCAAAAAAAAAAAAAACATTCAGTCATGACAAAAGACTCAAAAAAGGTGGTAAATTTTACTCTGTAAAAAGCTTTACCTCTTGCCCATCTGGGCCAACTTCCTTGATCTCACGAGTGAGCGTATTCAAAACAGAATCAGGATCGGTGACAATTATTTTGAAAGCCTGGGCAGGGTGAAGCTTATTCAGTAACGATTACAAGAGTCAGAAAAGCATCAAACAATTAAAAAAGAAAAATTGCCCACCTCAAAAGCATGACCATATTTGCGATATAAAGGCCATCCAATATGAACATAGAGCTCCTACACAACAAACGCCATTTAAATTTAGTTAA